TGAGTAATTATGTCATTTTTGAGTAATATAACAAAATATATAAATAATAAGTTGGTAAATATAATAATATTTTTATTTTTATCATAATTTTGCAATATTTAATAATTAATGTCATATCATGGATATATTTTAAATTAAAATAAATAACAACTGCTTTTTTTATTGTGTTAATAAAGCTTCAACAACTGGGGTCAATAGCCTGTAATAATTACAAAATATTTGTCTTAAGACTATGGGGATAAAAATAAAGGAAGTTAGTGAAATATAATAATTAATAGAAGTTTGGCTAAACTTATGTTTGTGGAAATAATTGAATRTATTTTTTGGAATTTTCCTCGCCAAGTGCTTGTTGCATTGTTGATGGGTTTCCGATGATTTGCTTGGAGCTATTTAACTTGAAGCATTTTAGAGTGTTATATTTGATTGACAGTTCTTTTTCACAGAGTTCACAGATTGGACACTTCTCTTTGGTTATGAGATGCAAGTGTGTTAAACGGGAGTGTCCAATCTGAGTCATTGTGATGACTATTTCTTCATGTCTGAATTGAATGAAGGGGATTTCTGTGGGTCTATTGATCTTTTAATTTCTTTGAGCTTGTTTGTACTAGGAATCTCCTCCCACATGTTTTGCCAGTGACTTTTAGTTAAAGTATTGATTTTTAGGAGTGCGTTTTGAAACGGTATTTTGTTTAGATTTACCGAGCTAGGTGATAATATTGCTTCGATGGCTACTCTATCAGCTAGTTCGTTGCCAATTATGCTATTATAGTGAGATAACTTTTATCGAATGGCTTGGATGATTTCATTTTTGGGGTAAGCAATTTCAAAAGCAAGTGGATCACTAAGATAGTCACTTATTATGAGAATTTCTTCTGACTCTATATTCACCAAGTGTGATAGGTATTGCTTTTTTTATGGCTTGGCATTCAGCGGGGAAAATGCTAGTTTCAAGAAGAAGTTTGAACATCGAGGTTTTATTATTTGCCTCTAAAGGCAGTTCTATTTGGAGATTTTGAAGCATTTATAAATATTTTATAAGAATAAATGGCTTGTTAATATTGTTATTTACTGTTATTAATGTATATATCATGTTTTGTATTTTTTGTTTAATCAATGCAACAATATTTTTTATTAATTTGTTCCAAGATACCCTAGTTTTTTTAATGAATAGGCTGATATTATTGAGTATATTATAATTTCTGTATCATAACATTTGTTAAAAAAGTTGATATTTAAAGAATTTCATTATAGAGGTTATCTATAGAAGTCATCCAAACAAAAACGATGTTAAATCTTCACTATAAATTCATAAGGAACATACTCTCGAAAAATACCTACTATACAGTTCAATTAAATTGTATAATAGTAATATTATACTATTATAATAGCTATTTAGTACCTATACATTATATCGGCAATTATTAACTTCCAAAAAACAGTTTTAAGTCTAATTTAGTTATATGATTATTCAGTTAAAAATAAAAACTATACGTATTTAACATGATATTAATAAAATGTAGTAAAATAGTTATTTTAAAGCTATGTATGAAGTGTCTACAATGATGTAATGTTTCAATTACTCTACTATATTGGAAAATATTTTTCATTTATKTAATTATTAATTTGTATTTTATAATGTTTGATTAAAAATATAATGCTTTACCTTTTTAAGAACTTAATCACATGGTAAAGATAAAAGTAACTTACACAAAATATTCATTGTTCCTAACTAGACGCTGATGCTATGTAAAATTAATCTAATTAAAATTTTCATCGGGTTTCTCATAATTTTTTTATATTGGAACATTTGGAACCGAAAAATCTAAAAATTATATAAAAATTGTTTTTTTTTTCAATGAGATTTTATAACATAAAATTAAGTCAAAATTATAGATACTCAAACAGAGAATAACTGAATAACAATATTTGTTATATTTTTGTAATTTAAAAATCTTATTCTTCGGCTCCTACTTGAAGTTACAAAGTACATACATCAAATCAAATGTTTTTGGAAGAATTAACTCAACCTAGTTTTTATTCATAGTTAAATAAACGAAAGTAATAGCAATAATATCATAACTTATAATTCATAAGATATACTTATAGTTAAAAATGCTGACAGTCTTCTCCCAATCCTTCGTATACAATACACCTGTTGAGTTTAATTTTAAGAAATCTGACGCAACACTTAATGTACAGCGGTTCTTACACTTGGCTACCTTTTTATTCAGTACTATATATATATACATAGATATATAATATTATCAATATTACAATAATAACCATGATTACATAATACCATTGAATATCAATATGTATGAAATTATATTATATTGTTCTATTTTTATTTCAATAACATTATTATCTATTATCTATGTTAGCTCTACAGAAGCACGTCGGTGCTATAATTATTCAACTTATATAGTTTGTTGAGTATTAATGGATTTAATATAGTTTAACGACTGAAATGATATTTATTACCTTGTACAGACACAACAAGTATTAACTAACATTAGTATTAAATGTAGATATTATTTGCTTTTTTTAATAAAGATAAATAAATTTTATAAATTAAAAATTAAAAATTTATATAACACTAAAATAAAATATTTGTGTTTCCTGTAAATATATAGAAATAAATAGAAATAATAATATTATTAAAATAATACCTAAACAAAATATATTTTGAATATCATTGTATAATATTGTTTAAGTTAAGTTTTAGTTTCTGAGTGGAGTGACAAAAATATTGATCTTATAATGATCTGTGTTTATTGAGTGACTTTTCACACGATAAATAGTCAAAAAAATGCTTAGAGACTTTCAATTTCAGTTACTTTTTTTAGAGGGGATGTAAATCTAGTTGATGTATTCGAGAGGTTGAAATTTAAGATCCACATTAGTTTTCAAAAATGTCGGGAAAAACAATTTATGTATTAAATAAATATATAAATTAATAATGGTAGAAAAAAATAATCTAGTATTCAAATCCATTGATGAAGTAACATAATTTTATTAAAGTAATAAACACATAAAATAAATATTTAATGCTTATTTATTTGGTTTAATGAATATAATATTTTAACTCAATCAATTCGTATAAGGATTTATTAATTAATTCCAAGAGGTAACTGAGTAAGATAAACAATACTTTGTGCACGTAATAATATATATGTACTAAAGGTAGGTACTTACTTTTGATTTACCATAAATATGATAAAAAATTTAGGATAAAATATTGTGTATTACTATTTATACGGACTAGATAGGAATAATATGTTAATACTACGTTTCAAAAACCTCACTAATAATTATCATAAAAAGTATTTTACTAATAAGTTTAAGTTTTGATAATATTAAATGTTAATTATTCAAATAAATTACTAAAATATCAGCAAATAGATATATACTAGGTAACTATATTATTATACACTTTTGATCATTAGTTTATTTATTTTTTAGAACAAAAACACATAAAAATATTAAATTTGTATCATTTCTATYGGTAAAGGTATTGGTATTACTAATATCACTAGGGATAACTGTACACTATGATTTGAGTAAAACTGTATTCGTTATTTTATTATTTTTTAATGAACTGTGTCATTATAACCTTATAAGTGTTTCCTTATTCAAATTTAATTAAATTTAGTTTAATGACAATCGACATTTTCCCACTAGTTTTTTTAAAATAATTATTAATAGATGTACCAGTAGCTTTATCCGTGGATTTACTGTTGAAGTGGTTAATGTCAGGCACGAGGACAGTTAGACTTATCTGAACACGTTTGCATGTAATGGCAGCTGTCTGGTGAATTCGGAATAGTTTTTGAAATGATTCCCCCTCAAGTCAATAATTTAGACTTTTAATTTAAACGATTAAAATCAACTAGGCGTTACTGATTCATAGGATAAGCTAGTTTTTTAAATGAAAAACGTATCGATACATCGATTTGGTGCACTTTATCAACATATTACGGATAAGCTAAGACTGCAGAAGATAATGTACTCGGAATAAATTAACAATTCAACGGGAGTTAAAACTATATGATTTAAATCACGTGTGCATGATAAATATAGATCAATAGTTAATACATTTGTCTTATAATGTAATGCCATTGATTGTGCTTATAATATTTAACCTATTTATGTTTATTGTTTTTATCATAATTTAATGATTAATCTCTTAAGCATATTATACTTTTTTATGATCAAACAAGTACAATTTATTTGTATAAATAAAGAATATTTTTCAGGTTAATACAGTTATTGGGATATTGCACCACTGCACACATCTCACAATTAGCTCTAAAAAAAAAAAAACTTAAATACTAATAAATACTTTAATTACACCATAGTTGTTATTATTTAGTTATTTATTGTATCAAACTGTCTTGTGATTGTTGTAAGTTTAAATTATAATATACAGAGTATTATAGCTATAATAGTTAGGTACCTATTTAACCATTTAATATTAACAAAAATAAATTGCACGAATTAGAATCTAAAATCATATTTTGAACAAAACTAATGACATTTTTTAAATTAATTTGTTTGTTTAACATATTAATATGATGTTTAAATGTAAAATATTTAAATATTATAATCTGTTATGACGAAAAACTATAATAAAACATTCATTCGTTATAACCTTATAACTAATTAAATAAATAATTGGTATGAAGGTAGTTTAACTTTTTCTTTGAACTGTTATTATTTTCGATATAATTACTAATAAAAATGCACGTAATAACTACAAAACTAATTAAATGTTTTTTTTTTTTTTTTAATAGTTTTTAACCTATTTTATTCCTTTTACAGCTACACTTCCATTTTTCTATATTAAAAGCCAATATATATGCATATATATTTGTTTGATAACCATTAATAATATTTTTATTTTTTTTTTTATTAATTAAAGGCTTCAAATACAATGTTTATTAGCCTATTAATAATATTATATTTCTTATTTTAGGTAGTTTATTCTATTTTAAAACAATATGAGGACATTTGATATGTTCTTGTTTGTAGTGGTAGCATTTACATGTRCCTCCGTGAACGGAAATGTGTATTTCCATGCTAAAAATCCAAATAATGAGTGGTGGTCGAACACAATAACATATCAAGTGTATCCAAGATCATTTAAAGACAGTAACAATGATGGTATTGGTGATTTAAAAGGTATTTATATTTGATATTGATTAATTATTATATTGAGAAAAAAATGGAAACAAGTTTCTATTAATTTTATAAATTATCTCCAGGTATTATTCAGAAACTAGATCATTTCACTGATCTTGGTATTGAGACGTTATGGATTGGTCCACTTTTTAAATCACCAATGGATGATATGGGATATGATGTAGAAGACTATAGAATGATAGACCCAATATATGGAACGATGGCTGATTTCGATGAACTAGTTTTAGAAATGAAGAAACGAAGTAATTTATTATTATTATTATTTTTTTTTTTTGAGATTTTAACATTAAATTTGTCATTTATTTGTTAGAATAACAAAATATTGCTACAATTGGTAAATTACTGTAAATATATTTTTTTTTAGATCTTAAATTAATAACGGACATTATACCTAACCATTCGAGTTATAAATGTGAGTGGTTCCAGAAATCAATTAAACAAGAAGGAAAATACAAAGATTATTACATATGGCGTGACGCTTTAAACAAAGATGAAGTTTTACAAAATTCAACAATAAAACCAATACTTCCAAACAATTGGGTAAATAATATTAATCAACTTTAAAATTCCTTATATTTAAAATGCAAATAATTTACGAATTTTAAAAGCATTTTATTAAATGTTGATTAGAATGAAAAGTATTTTACAAAATCATGATAGCCTTACTTATTAAATATTGAATAAAAATTGATTTTTTACACAGTTGAGTGTATTTGGTGGTCCTGGCTGGACATGGAATGATGAACGAAAACAATTTTATTACCATCAGTTCAATTCAAAACAACCAGATTTTAATATCAGAAATCCATTAGTACACAAAGAAATTTTGGTAAGTGAATAAAATTTAATTAAAGCAGCTGATTAGAAAAGGTTAATATTCTAAAAATACGTAAAATAAGACTGATATAGGTAGTCGTTTTGTAGCCAAGAGGTTGATTCATAATTGTTATTAATATCTCATATTTTGGAGGTTAAAGCTTTGTTAATAATATATTTAGACATACAGACAAGTTTTCGATTCGAGTAAATATTAAGGAAATAAACGTTTTTTTTTTTAATTTCCCAAAAATTAGATTTTTGAAATATTTACCTTTTTTAATCAGTCGTTCATTTATAGGAAAATCAAACATACACTTATGCCTTATACACACACACACACAATAATTAATAATGTGATAAATTTCCATTTAACATGTTCAATAGGCATTTTTTTTTCTTTCATTAATAAGTTTAACTAATTTCAAAACAATATATTGCTGATATTGTCAATATTCGATATTTTTATATTGAATCGAAATATAAGTTACTATTTAGTATTTAATACATTTGTAATTCACTTCAAAATTAAAATATTAAAACCCAACTTGCTATTTAAAAGACCAAATTTATTGAAATGAAACAATTACATTTTAATGGAAATGTGAAACGTTAAGTTAGTATATTATGTGTGTGATGTAGGAAAAAGCGAATTTTTCTTATCAGTATAAATTTATTGTGCACATTTTATTCAAGGATATACTTGCATTTTGGATTGATAGAGGCGTTGTTGGATATCGATTTGATGCTATTAAACATTTATATGAAAGTGATTCATTCCTTGATGAACCTTGTCTAGCTGATGAGGACGAATGTAAAATAAACCATGATAGTTTAAAACATATTTATACAACAGATCAACCTGAAAACATTGAAATTATTAATGAATGGAGAGAATTCATTGATAATTATATGAGAAGCAAAAACATCACAATATCTAGGTAAATCATATTTAGTGAATTTAACTTTAAAAGTAGCAACTTTCATTTGTGTTGTCTAGGTCACAATATTATATTAATTTATTTTTATATTTGAACAGCTATCTAGCCACCGAATCCTACTCACCGAAAGAAATATTAATGCAATACTATGGCAATTCAACGAAACCCGGAGCTAATGTACCATTTAACTTCGGATTATTAACTGTTGATAAACGTGACATAGTTGCATCTATAGACATAGAAATTAATGAATGGCTAGAAATAATGCCCGAAAACCAGGTGGCTAATTGGGTGGTAAGTATTTTAAAATATAATGCTTCTAAAAAAATATTAAATGTGAACAAAATAAAATATGATTAAGGTACAGACATCACCAATAAATCATACGAGCTTTATACAACTGCCACTTAATATTACTTCAATACGTTTACACGTTTATAAACACTACCTATTCAAATACTATAACGTATAGTTTTATATCATGCATTTTATTTAAGGTGGAAAATCATGACAACCCAAGGATACCAACCAAATTTGGTGCCGAAATGGTACCACTCTTTACAGCTTTGAAATTATCACTTCCTGGTATAGAAGTTACATACTATGGGAGTGAAATTGGTATGGACAATACGTATGTGAGACCAGACCAATCACAAGATCCTAATAATGCAGGAGGTAAGAGAGCGGATGAATCCAGAGATTATGAAAGGTGTCCAATGCAATGGGATACTTCAATAAATGCAGGTAAGACAAAGAAAGAAATTCAGTTTTGGCTCACGAAAATCGAATATTTTTTAGTTCACATGTAGGGTTAGAGGGTTACCATTGGTTACAGATTTAAAAGAGACTTCTATACCATAAACTAAATTTATTTGATAAAAATGAATGTATGTTTGTTGCGTATATGTGCACTGGAAAATTACTCGATCAATTTTGATGAAAATCATTGAGAATGTTCTCAGAGATATCAGAAAAATCGAATTGTTTGAACTATATTAGATTTTAGATTATCAAATTCATCGATCTTGAATGATAATGACTTAAATATATTATTTCATAGTCTAAATATGTATACAATATATTTTCATTTTATTTATCAACATTGATAAGCCATTTTAATTTGTTCCAAAGGTTTCACTGAAAAAAAAAGCCCATGGTTACCAGTAAATCCAAATTATTACATGCTCAACGTTGAATCACAGAAAAAAATACCAACTAGTAACTATAATTTTTACAAAAAAATGTCTCAACTTCGAAGAACCGATACATTGAAAAACGGCGATCTTCAGACGTATAATATTAGTAAATCCATATACATATTAAAGAGGTATAAAAATGTAAATTAATTAATAATATTATGAAATATTATGCATTGAATCTTTTCATTAATTATCTTTTCGTTGTTGTAATTTTTTCATTATTTAGATCATTATTGGAACACGAATCATACATAGTCGTATTGAATTTTGGAAGTGAAACTGAAACAGTTGCATTGTCAAATGTCATAAGCAATCTCAAAAACGAACTTTACGTATACTTAGGAAGTGCAAATTCTGGATATAATATCGGGTAATTAGAATTTCTCACTTTAAAAATGTTTTTTTCATTAGTAATGATTATTATTGACTATCATTGCAATTAACAGTTTTATGTTTTTGATTTATTGTAATTTATGTTTCTAGAAGTATTGTTACAACTGTTTGTTCACCCAATAATTCACTAAACCTCCGACCACAATCTGTAGTTGTATTAACAGATAAATATATTGCACCTGAAACACCAACAATTGATACTCAAAATGCAGGCACACAAATCGGTTCCACATCAATTAGTTTATTAAGTATTTTTTTACTATTAAGATATTTTTTATGAATTCATCTTTCATAATTGTACACTAAATACCTATAGTTATAATTTCTCTTAATTTTAATTTTATCAATATTTTTGTTGCATACATTCATTTTTTAATGTATTATTTAATAAATTCCTAATTTATGAGCCAACGAAGGCTTTTAAACAATTTATTAAAAACTGTAGTACCTACCCATAGAAATTAGTTAACTTACTATGGTTAGCTTTTTAAGCTTCAGAGTTTTCTCTCATTAAATGCTTTAAAGTGACATACATTTTTCAAATTCTTTTTAAAAATGTATCATGCTAATCCATGATTATTTGTATATAATAATAGCATTGTTATACTTTGTGCCAATAAATATTCTTCTTAGAAAATCGGAATATTTAATTAAAAATATTGGTTATCACTCATCATTCAAAAAAAAACTAAATATCTAAAATCCTTAATATTCATAATTTAATAATAATCTTGTAAATAAAGACTACCTACCTATATTAATAAATAGTTACAAGTTATCTAATTGTTTTTCTAAGATTTAAAATTCATCTATCTAGAAAAATACATTTGTATAAATAATTGTAATTTTTATATCATAATTTATTCTTACTACACATAAATTATAATTATAATATTTAATATCAAACAAAGTATTCTTTTATTTTATAATGTATCATTATAAATATTAAATATTTAATTTTAAAAATTTGTTATTCATTTATACTTTTACTTATTACAGACTATCATTTCAACCTATTTGCTTAAACTATATTCATGTAGTAGCAAAGTATACTCGTAGAAGATTAGGTTTAAATATATTTGAAAAAATTATCTTTATTTATCTAATCCTAGCACTCTGCAGCTATGTAAAAATAGCATTCAGATTAAAAAAAAAAATACTTCTTGAAAAACTAAAAATATTACTTAAAATACTAATTAGCCATTTTTAATGATATCATATAGATATATAATAATAGTAATAATTAATATATATGATACTTGTACTATATTGTTATCGATAGCAATAGGATGATTAACATTAAGAAAAGATTTAAAATGTATTGCTTGTTGATAATTTTCAAGTATTATGGCTCGTGGCTCGATACATTTTCAGTAGTTCTTATTACCTAAAATTTAAAAAAAATATATAAACACAAAGGTTGTGAAAATTAAGCTACTTTTTGTTTCATAAATTTATAAAAGTTTTTAGATTTTTCAAATTTGGTAAATAATGCTAAGGCTGATATTTTTGATTTTCATTATTTTGGGTTAAATTTGAAAAAATATAAAAATGATAAGTTTTTGGAATAGTTTTTTCGTTCAATGTCTTGTTTATACATTTTTACTATTGAGTATAGTGAAAGCTGGCAAAAGGGAGCGCAGGTTCTTTATTCTTTCCTTCCTGTTTCCTTCCGGATCCCATTTGAACGTTGAGCCTCTCTTGTTAGACCCTTCTGCAAATGTCAACCCCAGCAATAGGCAATATTGTAATATTTCGTTTGTACGTTGGATCACAAATTTCTCTCCCTTTCTGCGCCTTACTCTTTATTTCTGTCAGTTTCTTTTCTTTTTTCTTTTGGTTGATTTTCTTATGTTTGCGAAACTCTGGAGTTGAAATAAATAATGATAAATAATGACCAACACAATCCAATATAATATTATACATCGCGAATAATTGTTAAACGAAAATATTATGCCATTTATTAATTGATTTTAAATTCAATTTATAACATAGTTCATACTTTTCTTTATATTATGAAGAACAGTGAACACGTGTTAGTAGTGTGCTTATTGTACTCGCGGTTTACGTTTGAGCCGTTAATAGGATTACTGAAACATGGTATCGTTACCCCTTTAGTTTCTTCTACCCCACTGAGATATTATTAAATAGTTTTTTTCCCCATTGCCATTGAAATAAACAAGCAATGACAAGGTGATTGATCGTCGTGTGGGTTTGTTTCCTTATTGGATTTGATTAAAAAGTATGTTTTTTTTATTAACTTAATAATATTCCGAATTAAGACTGTAAGTACATATTTTGTTGCATTGTTAGCATGGTTTTATTATTTTTATTATTATTATTATTATTATTATTGTTTTTATATTGATTTATAGGCATAAAGCCTATCAATAATATTATTATAAAGGTAGTCTGTTTTTGCTGTACAGTAGGTTACTAGTGAGTTACTCTAATGGATGGAGTTAAATTTGAATTCAATGATATTATATCATTGCATACAAAAAACGATTCTGATCGAAGACGGTTTATCTGTCTAGGATATATTATAGATAATTAAAAATTTTCAAATCTTAGATTTAAAATAGTCACTCAAATGTTTTGAAAATTTTACCATGTATAGGTAAGGATAATATAAGTAAACAGCCCAAATTTCAAGTTTTATGAATGTTATTAACCAAATAACAACAAAAAACTCCCAAAATTAAAATGACTATAAATAGCTATTCGTAAAAAATGGTTAAAATTGACCAAACTTTAAACCGTAAGAATAAAATTCAAAATAATACAACCCAAAAGATCTCTTGTCATTTTTCATTTGAAGCAATATTTCTGGTAAAAAATATCGTCCATAATTATTTAATATTATAAAATCATGAAATGGTACTTTTTTCTCCTTTAACCACTTTTGTTTCGAGTACAGTTTCGAAAATCGAAAATGACCTGTTTAAAGTACCAGCTCAAGAACATTACTTTTTAAAAAAGATGCTACACTTGATACTTTTGAGCAAGTTTAGAGGGAGAAAAAGTGTTTACAGAATAAAAAATAAAAATAAAAATAAATAAACATCATTGTAAAACCAATACATTCCTCGCTCCGCTCAGAATCTAAAATATTAAGTACATTACATAATTTTGATAATTTTATTAATTGATAATTAATATCATATAACAGGTTAGGTAATTTCATAATATTTTTTTTCCATAAATAAGCAAATAAATTTGATAAAAAAATTATGAATCATTATTAAAAGTCTGGTATTAAATCATCTGTTATTGAAGTTAAAGAGGTTCTCAATTAAACCAATAGTAATTTGATATTCAAAAAATTATAATACCTCTTTACAAGCCTCATATTCTGAAATAATTAAAAAAATTCAGAACATATGATACTACTAAAACCCGGAAAAGTTCTCCTTGAATAGCAACAATTAAAACTTCGAAACAGCGAATTTCCAACTTTGACGATTTTTTTCTGGTAGTAAATTTGATTAAATTGGTTCACCAGAAGGAAGTTTTTCGGTGTCATTAACTACTAATTTTTGACAAAATAATTTTTATTTTTTTGGTTATTATTTAAAAATGAACAACTTTTAAATAAGTTTTTATGTGATCGCATCTGAGATAAGTTACAAATTCCATATATTTTGGCTGTTTTGAACTACTTACAAACTTTCTTAGATGTGAACTTTTTAATTTTTTAGATTTTGAACGTAACGAATGATTTTATTGATTATACAGTGATGAGTGTTTATTTTCTTTCTGTCCGATTTGATATCTGTTGTGATTTTATAGATTAGTAAAATTTCTGGTATAGGATAGTGAATCTTTTTTGTGACTTAAATAAGTCATAATTGAAAATTCCCTGTAATCTTTAAAATTGATGAAAAAATAAATACCGATATTCGAAACCAAAATCGGCATCAGGAAAAAATAATTTCCGTTCAAGTCCAGAATATTACATTATACACTATTATAGTTCTGTATTTAATACACACAGTTATTTACATAGGTTTATAGCTTTTGCATTGCACTCATAAATGAAGTTGTAGCCGCCCGCAGGTGTCATTTTATTTATCATTCATTTTCAAATAACCGACCTTTAACATCTCTACGACTGTTCATCAACTCATTTTCGAGTGTTAGATAGACTCGCCATGTGGTCACAATGAAACATTATTACCTAACAGTGCAAAATGGCCTCCGGTGACATGTATGAAAAATAAAAGGGCCAAAAGCGACGAGTGTACTCGTACTCATACGATTTTTTTCCACAGTAACGAACCTATTCTCTATGTATTTTCTAAACACGAAAAGGAAACTGAAGATTGTAATACTCTCCCGCTGAGAACTCCCCGCACGTATATAGGTTTTTAAAATGTTTCGGATTGGTACAAATTCAAAGTGAAAGACTTCAAAAAATAATATAACGAATGGTGAACCACAATAATTATTCCCTGTAAAAGCATTATTTAGAGATGTTTTACAATGTCAAAAAACTTATCGAGTCACGTAATATTTGTAATCGTCTTAAAGTTATAAGTAATAATAATATACTACTAGCGTCATCACGTGTAGTGACTTTTTGACTATATTTAATAAAACATAATATATTATGCGCATTTCAGACAAAACCCGTATCTCCAAATAAGAATAATATTATCAATAATAAAATTGTCGCTACAAAGAAACGTAATAAAAATAATAAACGCAATAATGGAGTTAAACGTCGCTTATCTTCCTCCTATTCTCCTCCGCAATAACTGCATATTGCATACACAAACAAATATAAATCAAAACCTTTCATCACACACAACTTGTCTGCTGCTCTTATTATTTACCACGTGAGGTCCTATATTTCCTTGGATAACAACAATATCGACTAAATCGACGGCTCACCAGAAACTCTTGATACGGGGCAATCAAACACTACTTAAAGTACATTAAGAACAATTTTAGCTCTACCTACAYTTGCTAAAGGCGTTATTGAATATATCAACTTACTATAAAAAAATTAACTTCTAACTTAAGTTAGTATTTTTACCAAATTAATTTCTAACTAAATAAATTATTAGTATTTTAGTAATTTAAAAAATTTCAGAAACTAACTTATATTATATTTTGATTTTTACTAAGTTTATATTAAAGTACCTAACTTGACGTCAATTAGCTAAGAAAAATGACTAACTTATGCCCAGATTTGATAATATGCAAATGTAGAAATGTTTAGAAATAAATGTTACTAAAAACAAAATATAATTATAAACTTTAATTGAAAATACTGTAAAAAGTATAAATTAACTTATCTCATATCTAATTATGTACGAACAGTTTATTTAATATATCTACGGGTATACATAATGGAAAAAACTAGGATTTATAAATGTGATGACAACCTCATTTTTACTAATTACAATACCTAAAATAACAGAGTATTCTAATCTAAAAACATAATCTTAAAATTTTCAAAAATGATTTGCGTAGCTATTAAGAAAAAAAAAATTATAAATTCATTTAATTTTAGAGATATC